CTAATGTTGGACTTGTGGGCTTGGACAGCACTGGGTTGGGATGTTTTCTTGATGTGCCCTTACCCTTTAGATAAAACTCTCTTATACATATGAGTTTCTGTGAATTTGTTTCTCTAAAGTACCCAGCCTAACACACCTGGTGCCACAGTGATTAGTGAGCCACTGACAACCCAGGGTTCGGTAGGAAGAGTAAAATCGATCCTTTTCCTTTATTTAAGATACCTGGGAGTTAGTCACTGTAAGAATTTGAATTTACGACCCTCAGCCCATTCAAGGAAATGCTACATTTCTTAGCATTATCTTACAAGCCAACTTTGCAGCAAGTACCTCACACTCCCACAAAGCACCCAACCTGTAGCCACCACCAATGACCTAAATAAGCGCGCTTTCTCATCTCTTTACCTTTGTTCATTCTCTCTCCTAGCATCTGCGATGCTCTTCTCCAGTCCCTTTGTCAGTCTGGCCAGCTTCTTGGTTATCATGCTACTGAAAAACCGAACTCACTGCCATCAATTCTATTCCAACGCATGGGACCCTCTAGGGCAGGGTAAGACCATCCCTGTAGGTTTCCAAGACCAGAACTCTTTACAAGAGAAGAAAATCTCGTCTTTCTCCCATGTCATCAGGCTAGACCCAGCTCAAAGGTAGCCTCTTCTGGGAAACTGGCTCTTCAAGGTGGGATTCATCATTCCTTCCTCTGTTACAAGTTTGCCTTTGTTAATAGGAAAAGAAAAAAAACTATCAGAAGATAAAGATTAAACGTTGCTTAAAAAGAGAGAAACATCAGAAATTAGTCCCATATATTTATTGTGCGTGGACACAATTCAAATTGGGTGATGTCAAACCACAAGTACCAGGAAAGGGCTCCAAAGATGAATCATAAAAGTAGATTACACAGGCACTTCCAGACCGGGCAGGCACCTGAAGGTCGTAGAAAATTCCTTTCATGTTGGCGATAGCGTCAAAGCACTTGCAGGGTTTCAGGGGCAGCCCTGTTGTGTAACCTGAGTCATTAAGAACATGCATTATCTCCTAAAACAGAGCTTCCAGTCAGACCTTGGAGTTTCTACTTCCTGAAACAGATTCACTGCACACAGGTAATTTTCCCAAAGATCCCAATGCCTAAGCCAAAACCATCTCCATTCCACTCTGTCTAAGG